TTTGGAATTTAGGTACATCTAATAGATGCTAATTTTTGTTGAACAACTTAAGTATCTGCTCTATGCCCAGTGCTGTTTGGGGGAATAAATATTCAAAAGTATAGGTGAAGGTCTAACCATGTCTAATTGAGTTTTCTAAGGAAAGCTTGTATTTCTTCAAATGTTTTATAGGATCCTATTCTTTAGCAAGTAAAATGACCACTTGTTTAAGTACGTTTATAAAAAAATTTAATTCTAAGTAATTTCAAGGCCAAAGATCCCAGCTAAGTTTATTATTATTTTTTCCTGCAGAGGAAATTTTAGGCACAAAATGCTGAAGACTGAGAGCTGGAAGCAGAAACTTAAAAAATAATTTTACTTTTATCAGTGATGTATTACAACATAACTGTTCTTTATTGGATAAGCCACAAAATAAGCACTCACAAAATCTATTTTCAACTTTAGTGAAAGAAAAATTTTAGCCACATCTTTCACTTCACCAGAAATAAAAAAGTCATTTTTTTCCTTCTAAATTCTAACAATTATGTGCAACAATAACATCAGTGGAAAGCCAGGCTTCTAAGTATCAAGAATTTCCTGAGGCTATTATTTTATGTTCTTCATATAAAATTTATTCTTCCGAATACAAACAGCTTGGCTTTATCACTCACTTCTGTATTTTCTTACTTAAGTTAGATTTTCAGGAAAGGCAGATTTTCTTAAGAAAACTGATATAGTGCTTGGTGGTATTATTTTTTTCAATAACCAGAGGAAAGCTTGTGGATATATATATATATATATACCCTTCTTTATGCCCCAAGCACTTACTTCAAAAAATAGCTAACTAGTTAAAAGAAAAAAATATAATGACACCTTCAAATCTGGGAAAGGGTGTATCTCACATTCTACTGCTTTGTATCTCAGATTTGTTTCTGAAAAAATATAATGCATTTTAGAAATAAAAAACAGTCACTTTTCTGAAGAGTCCACTTAGCCACACAGAATGAGAAGAATGGGCTGGGGTAGGGGAGCTTAGGGGTGGGTAACATAGAATAAAATCTAAGTAGCATGGACTCTACTGCCCTCTAGTGGTTGTACTCCAGAAAAATACTGTTTCCTCGATTTCCTTTAGTTTGAACTGGGTTTATTTTCCCTTTGAGAATTTAAACTAAATGGAAAGCTCTTTAACCAATTGACACTTCCTACAGTTTCAGGAACAGCCATATTTTACTTCATCATTCATAATTATCATTTGGTTCTTTATTGTTTCAGGTCATTGAGGAAGCAAACAAAGAGCAGAATCAGCTCTATAAAGGCATTGCTGGAAATTTTCCTCCTAGCTCCCCAGATTCAACAGCCTACTTTCATAACCATATACATATTTTCCCCAATTGCTAACCTTCTTTTTAGACCTTGAAGCTAAAGCAGTAGATAAATCTAGCCAAGGGGTGTCACTGTTCCCCTATATTGGTTGTTAACAAAGTAAATGGCTGGTGCTCCTGGAGGGAGTGACACTTATTTTAAAGATTTATATTTAATGTTGAAAGTATTACAGATGTCCCCCTTTCCCTCCCATTGGTCCTCTCTACCCCACATCCACCATACTCCCAGGCCTTCCCCATACCAATATCTGTGTCCACAGGTTATTCATATAAACATGTAAAGTCTTTGATTAATCTCTCCCCACCCCCACCTTCCCTCTGAGGTTCCTCAGTCTATTCCACGCTTCTATGTCTCTGGATCTATTTTGTTCATCAAGTTTTTTTTTTTCATCAGATTCCACATATCAGTGAGATCATGTGATACCTTTCTTTCTCTGACTGGCTTATTTCACTTAACATAATACTCTCCAGGTCCTTCCATGCTGTCTCAAAGGGTAAGAGATCCTTCTTTTTCTTACAGCTACATAGTATTCCATGGTGTAAATATCCAAGAAGATGCTTGCTAAGAACTCAATCTCCTTGAACTTGCAGAGACTTGTTTTGTGTCCTAACATGTGGTCTCTCTTTAAGAATGTCCCAAGTGCACTTGAGAAGAATGTCTTTCTGCAGCTTTGGGGTGAAATGTTCTGTATGTCAGTTAAATTCATCTGATCTAATGTCATTTAGAGTCACTGTTTTCTTGTTGATTTTTTTTTGCCTGGAAGATCTTTCCAGTGAAGTCAGTGGGTGTTCAAGTCCCCTACTATGACTATGTTGCTATTGATCTCTCCCTTAAAGTCCTCCAAAAGTTTTTAAAATATATGTATTTAGGTACTCCTATATTATGTGCAAATATGTTTACCAGGATTATTTTCTCTTGTTGGATTGATCCCTTTAGGATTATGTAGTGACCTTTATTGTCTTTCGTTATGGTCTTCATTTTGAAGTCTATTTTGTCAGAACTACTGCTACCCCAGCTTTTTTTTTCATTTCCATTTGCATAAATTTTTCCCCACCCCTTCACTCTCATCCTGTGTGTCTTTTGTTCTAAGGTGGGTCTCTTGTACACAGCATATATTTGAGTCATGTCTTCTTATCCATTCAGATATTCTATGTCTTTTGATTGGTGCATTTAGTCCATTTATATTTAAGGTTATCATTGATAGGTACTCATCTATTGTCATTTTAATTCTTTATGCCTATGTTTCTCTATTTCTACTTCTTATTACAGCAGTCCCTTTAACATTTCTTGCATTGCTGGTTTGATGGTGATAAACATTTTTAGCCTTTTGTTTGTCTGGAGGCTCTTTATTTCCCCATCTACTTTGAATGATAGCCTTGTTGGATAGAGTAGTCTTGGATTCAGATCCTTGCTTTTTCATTACCTTGAATATTTCATGCCATTCCCCTCTGGCCTATAGAGTTTCTGATGAGAAATCCGCTGACAGCCTTAGGGGAGCTCCTTTGTAGGTAACAGATTGCTTTTCTCTTGTTGCCTTTAAGATCCTTTCTTTGTCTTGAATTCTTGGCATTTTAATTATGATGTGTCCGGGTGTGGCCCTCTTTGGGTTCTTCTTGCTTGGGACTCTCTGTGCCTCTTGAACTTTCAGTGTGACTTTTTCCTTCACCAGGTTAGGGAAGCTTTCTGCATTACTTTTTCAAACAGGGTGTCTATTCCTTGCACACTTTCTTCACCTTCTGTGACTCCTCTATGATGCAAATGTTGTTACATTTCATATTGTCCCACAGCTCCCTTAAAATGTCCTGTTTTTTCTTTTTGGTTCTCTGATTAAGTGAATTTTTGTTTTTACGTAACTGTCCCAAGACAGTACTAGGGCTGGTAATAAGCTTATAGGGAGATTTGTCTCATAATGCCATGAGAAGGGCAGATAAAACTTAAACCAGCTCCAACTCACAGATACTATTTAAGACAGTAGGCTTTAATACTTGCTGGGCAAGTGCTCACCTGCAGCTTCCTCCTTGTCAAATAAAGAGTTGAATTTAACAGATCTTTCAGGTATCTTCCTGCTGGAAATTTGTATATATTGATGACTATAAACTCTAATAGTTTTATGCCTGAAGTTTTGAAAGTACAGCTCAATAAGTTAATAATTAGCTATTATTCAAGCATTTCTTTTACCCCAATTTCAAATGTAAAAGATTAATGCTTGGCTAAATTTCTTCAATTAAGATAATACGATATTATAATTATAAATTACTTAAATATTAAATTCTTTTAAAAATACGTAACTTTCAAATTGTGCTAAATTAAAGGACTCACTTATTGACAGAAAATCTGAATTTCAGTCCCAGTTTTACCATAGATTATTGGTAACTTTGAAGATGGCTCAATATATTAGTGGCTTGGATTAGATTCTTTCCAAATTTAAAAATTTTAATCTTATTTAAAATCAAGCCTTTTCAGACTTCCTATTTAGTATTGACTTTGGAGTGAAAGCATGCCAGACCCACAGTAGATGATCAGGGTTTAATCAAATTTAACAAGCTAGAGAGATGGTAGGTCATTGGGATACTAAACTATATCCATGTACAAGAACTTTCCAAGTGAGAACAGCCAACTTGGAAACATACTTGACCATTAAAGTACTGGCTTCTACTCTACACCCTAACCACTAACTTATTTTGCTGCAACTCAGTGGGTATGCCAAAAGCTGACCCAATCTTTCCCTCTCTAAGTCCATGCTTCCCGCAGAGAGGGTTTCTTTCTCACCACTCACAACTCAGTTAATTCCTCAAAAATAATAAACACACCCTCATTACCTTCCTTGCTTTTAACTCCTCTCTAAAAAAACAAAACTAAACTTCCTCAAAAACAAAGTAAAACATATTATGGTCTTCTACACGATATATCTTTTACATTCAATGGGGGTAAATAGTTGAAGGAGGCCCAATCCTTCTGTCCATAAGCTCAAACTCTGTTGGGAAGGAAATATATACCTAAGTAACTCTTTCAGATCAAAATCTGGTGTGGTAGAGGTACGCTTCCTAAAAATGTATTCCTTGCAACTTGAGTCTCACTAGATATTTTTGGTCAATTGTGATTGGAAAATAGTATTCTATACTCAGTGAAGAGTTACAATATATTGCTATATTCTACCATTCTGAGAAGTCTGACATATAATGAATTGCTTTAAGTGTGTTTAACCAATGTTCAAACAACTTATTTTTGGACCACAGAAGATTTTTGGTTTTTAGTGATATGTAAGATTTGAAAAATGCTGTGCCAGAGATAAAAATTTTATAAGCGTTAGAAGAAAGATGAGTTCTGATTAAGAATAGTTACTATTTTCTGAGTGTTCTAGGAATTTTCCATGAGAAGCACTTTAACAAATAGCTCATTAAATACAAAACTTTGCGAAGAATAAAGGATTTGAGGGCCCGCCCAGTGTGGCTCAGTGGTTGAGCATTGACCTAGGATCCAGGAGATCAAGGTTCGATTCCCAGTCAGGGCACGTGCCCGGGTTGGGGGCTCGATCTCCAGTGAGGGCCATGCAGGAGGCAGCCAGTCAATGACTCTCATCACTGACGTTTCTCTCTCTCTCTCCCTTTCCTTTCCTCTTTCTGAAATCAATAAAGACATATTAAAAAAAAAAAAATCAAGGATTTGAGCAGGTCTTGAAGGATGAAAAGCCCAGGGACATGTTGAGGTAAGGCCATTCCAGGAAAAGGTAAGTATAAATAGAAACACGGAGGGTGGTATATGCCAATCACGTTTGGAAAAGTGTAAAAAGAATGACAGGACTAGGGCTTCACTGGAGTAAAACTGGGGAATTAGGCTGGAAAACCCGGGACCAAGTTGAGGATGCCTCAAAAACCACGGCTGCCTTTTTCTACGCAGTGAGAAGCCGAAGAGACATCTGAGCGGAGAAAAGAACAGTCACGGAGACACACAGGCCAAGGAAAAGAGAAGGCACCGCCAGGACTCATAGAGACGAGCATCGTTCACGTCAGAGCTCTTGGAAACATCGAATGGTGTCCCTCAAAATCTCCACGAAAGTATCACACTCCTCCTCCAAGGACGCCGAGTTTCCCTCAAGCACTGCCATCCAACACGTCTCAAACACTACAGGCTCTGCCCGCCCACTTCGCACGCTTCCTCCGAGCCTCTCTGCCTGCTAGGTGGGATGCTGCGTCATTCGCCAGCTGCTCAGCACAGCCAGGTCTGTCATCAAGCTGACTCGACCGCATTGTCACATTTTAACACCGGTTACCCTTCATTTACCGAAGGTGCCGAAACCAGGTAATGGGATGCTTTTGCCAAGAAAGGTGGTCAGAGTTAAAGGGTAAATCTGTTCACTGGGGGCTTCTGAGAGCTTCCCTCCGTGCCAGCCAAGGGGCGTGGGAGCTGCTGCGCTGTCCAGCGGTCCAGGCGACACGCCTGCCGTTAGGAGTGGCTCCCCACCCTTGACCCCTCAGAGATTTTTTTTTAATTAAAAAAGTTTAATCTCTAGTAGTACGTACAGTATCTACCTTATATTTCCCCACCTTATTGTGTATGAATTGCTTGAGAAATAATATGTAAGATGGAAGAAAAAACGTCTGTCTAATCTCACCAACTTCCTTCTAGCAGACTGTTTCATCTACCAAACTAACTTCTCCGTTCCCTCCCTTCTGAAACGAGATTATACTTAGAAAGGGATGAAAGTAAAATTTATCCTAATTTAACACAAGGACCGGGGAGGAGAGATTATATGAGTGACGGATATTGTACAATTTCCCTTTTGCTTTTAAAACTAGATACTTGGTTTATTATAGAAGCAACGGGGCTTTTAGATGGACTAACAACCCTCTTACTAGGTTTAATAACCCCCATTCCAAATGCACCTTATTTGAAAAATTAATGTGTGACAAATTCGCTTCACCAACCAATGAGGCTCTGCGGTTCTCAGTTCTCCTGGGGTTGTTTTTGCTTTCCGTTCTAGAAGAAATTATGAGGAAATTTCTAGAATGAGAAAGAAAGGGCATGTTACACATTTATTCTTAGCTGGGATGTGAACACTAAGGATAGCACGCCCCAGATGACCTCAATTCTCCCATATGGTACACACAGCCCTCAAGGTACCGACTTTACTGTATTAACACTATTTCTGCCACTTATCAAGCGCCACCATGTGCAGGGACTTCATCTCACTGGATACTAATAGAGCTGTGAGAGAGAGGTTCTCAATCCCATTTCACAGGCCAGGAGGCAGAGGCTCAGGGAGGTCAGGGGCCGTCTAGTCAGGAGCCACGCCACAGTATGAACCCAGGGCCCAGGGATTCGGAAGCCCGAGCTGTTTACACTACAGCTCAGGAAAGCTCGAGTTCCTTCAGCTAAGACATTCATCAGCTAAGGCTTACATTCATGCAAGGCCGTCAGAGTGAGTCGAGGCATTCATGAGTTCATTACATAGACACCTGTAATGAACAGAAAGGAGAAGCTTTAGGAAAAAACCCACTACTCAACAAAAGGAATAATTATAAATAAATGTAAATGGATGGGATGAAAATATTGCCCATAGCTTTAGTTCTCCAAATGACAATAAAAACCACAAATAAAAATTTTAAACACATCCTTCCTTCATTAACTCTGAGACAAAAGCATAAAAGATGAAGAAATCATATGACCCTTACCCTTTAAAACAAATTATGTTAAAAAACGAGTGCCAACATCTTCTATCATGAAATGAACACTGCACCAGATCATCTTTTTGGTGGAAACTGTCTGCAAAAGAATATTTTACTTGTTCTTTTGTTTTAAAAATGTAAGCAACAAATATAAACCTAAGAAGAGTAAAAGTTGTATGGAACAAATATTATAAAAGCATTTAAAATCATTCTCAAGCTAAAACAAGAGGTTGCTGGTTGTGCTTTTACCAGCGTAGGTATCCAACAGCAACAAAATTAAGTTGATAGAAATTCACATTCCTTAAGCGAAGAGAACTCATAGGAAGTTTTAGAAAGATCAGTGACATCTCTGAAATATCTGTGGCAAAAACATATCTATATGCTTAATTATAGCAACATATTTTCTAGAGTAGCTACTTCTTAAAGAATTGAACAAGTTTATAAATACCTGAGTGATAATCGGCCCATCCTGTTGGTACCTAGAGTAAGAAACCAAATTAACTTACGATTCTACACATAAACTTATCTTTTAAACTAATGTGTAGAAGTAAAAAAGGAAAAATGTAAACATAAGTGCTTCCTTACTGGTTTGATAAAAAACTTTTTCTAATGGGGCCGACATATATTTTAATATTCACAGAAAAGAAAAAGACCATGATTATTGTAATGACTTATTTTAAAATTAGGTAAATATTTACTTCATTTAACTTATAGAATCGTGGTTTCTTCCTTTAAAAAATGTATGCTTGGCTGTGTTTTGTGTATTTGTTGCCTCACGCCAGCAATTTCAACCAGTGTGCCGCAAGAAATTTTAAAACATGCAATACGTGACTGTTTAGTCAGGGGCACTGCCCTCTTTTCCCTTACGATTGTCAAATAAAAAAATGAGAACAGCCAACACAACGACAGCTGTCCAGTATGAATGAATCAAAATTATACCTATTTTTTTGGTCAGACTGGCAAAAATTATATTTTTGGTTGTGCCGCAGAATTTCAGTCACTAGTTTATGTGTTATGAGATGAAAAAAGGTTGAAAATCGCTGCCTTACACAAACTTGTCTGGAGCCAGTGAATGAACATATTTTATACTCAGCTGAGAGATTTTTATCAGTACACTTAGAGGCAGCAGGGAGCGTAATTAGGTATGCCTGCCATCTGCATAGCCCTCCAGGTGCAGGAGGCATTAGCTTTATTTAATATTACCACAACATTAATTTTACTCCATTAATTTATGTCATGTGTCCTTTCTTTCAAACTCAGATTGCCAAAGCTAAAGCACTGAAGGTAGTGACCCAATTCTGGTTCGAGGAGAGGCCTGATAAACAAAGTCTTAACCTCATTATCTACGAACACTTTTAAGAATAGAAATTGACTGGCTTGGATTCACACTTTTAAACAGTCTATAAACAAAACCTTTCTGATTTGGGTATAACAGAGTATTTTCAAAGAGAGTATATCATGAGGTGATCATTTTAGGTGGCGCTGACAAAGCACCAGAAATACTGCATCACATGACGAAAGAGGTATTTCCTTTCAGTGCCTGTAAGTCCAGGGAAGATGTCCCCTGGGTCATTAACACCATGCTCACAGTGGCCATTCTCCCTCCCTGACAAAGCTCTGACCCTTGTTAGCAACAGTATCGTCACAGAATTTAAGAACACGGCTTTGGCTCATAGTTATTTTATGTTTTTGCAAATGTATTGATATTTGCAAATGTGTTTCTTTTTCACTTCAAGTAGTGAGATACAATTCCTCTTTTAAGCACATTTAAGTTAAAAACTAGTCTACTATAAAGAAAAATATTTAATAATTAAAAGTAGACTTATATGAGGATACGGGAAACACCATGAAGGTTGCAGACAAAAAAACAACTGAAATTCTGGTATAAGTTGATTTGCATCCAACTTCAGAAGAAAAAGGCATGCTCATGCGGAAGTGAAAACTGAAGGCTATGAAATAAAGCTACTGAATTTATATTATCCAATGTCTTCAAGGATATATAATACGCACAGCTACTTCCCTTTCTTGATAGCTTATCCTGTACATGGTATTAATGCTTTCCACACAGTTGTCTGATTTTCTAGAGCAAGGCAGGCCTGTAAGTTTTACTGAATGGAATAAGGTACCTTTAAGTTAATAAAATTTAGGGAAGTGGAATTTTGCCAAGTATTTCACGGCACACGCAAGTGAAACATCTTAATTTCTAGTACACTGATAACAAAAAAAGAGAGAGAAAGTATGTTTACCAAGGGTAACCGGTTTATTTCTGAAAATACGCACACAGGGTGAGGAGAAAGGGGGAGCCAAGAGAGGATTGTAAGTATTCCCAACGACGCAACCTTCCGAAAAACATCCAGTGTTAGAGGAACAGGTCGAAGCCCCTCCCTCGAGGCTGCCTAAAGCTCTCCGGATGGTGGTGCTTTTGGAAACTTCCAGAAACATTTTGAGTGAGAAAATTCTGAGATCACCATCATAGATTTTCCTCTTTCTTGACAGAACTCTTTTTAAGGGCCTACCGCTGAACTCTCTCTCTTTGCTGGACTGATAAGTAGAATTCTTAGACAATACAGTTATTTTGTGACTCGCATCACCATGGACAATAATAGGAACACGTGTACTTTGAAGGGAAAAAGCAGCTGCCATGTCAGCATATAAAAATCACCCTGAGAAGATTCGCGGCACTTAGCTTCCGTCTCTTCATTTAGAAATGCCTTGCGGCCGACACGCTTCCCTCGCGGGGTAAGGGGCCCATCCGCCTCCCTGGGGGGGGCCCCTCGCGCTCATCGCCGGCACAGAGCTGGGGGACACCCGTGCGCAACTCAAGTGCACCCCAGGACCCTCGCTGCTGACAGAGACCCGCCCGGGCCGCTGAAAGGGCGATGACAGCTCTGCCATCCCCGCACCTAGGCCCAGGGAGTAAAGAGCAGCGCCCGCTTTACTCCCGCCGCCCCGCCATCCTCCCAGCGGCTTTCCCTCCCACGGATCTAAGAAAGGCTCCGAGTCCCGGGGAGCATGCACCCCCAGCCGGCCACCGGCCACCGGCCACCAGCGCGCTGACCAGGCCGCGGCCTGGTGCACGCAGGACATCGCCGAGCAGGGCCAGCTTCCCCGCTTCTCCAAGTCCATCCAACTCTGCGCTACCAAGATTCTTACAAGACCAAACAGGCAAGCGAGCGGACAGAGAAGCCCTCTCCTGTAGCTTGTTTTGTCTTCCATGAATTTTCACTTTTTTACGCTTCCAACCCAATCTTTGTTCTGACGCATGAACTCCACTGGCAGGCTGCCCCTCGCTGCTGCTCCTGCTGCTGCGGGTCCGTCAGCGCCGAAGCTCAACAACTCTGCGCCCTCCTCCCCCTCGGGGAGGGTCACACAGAGCCCCGGGAACGGGGTGCTGTCCGCCGTGATTTCATCCCGCGAGAAAGTACACGGAGCCGCCGAGGGCCAGGCCACCGTCGCGAGCTGCACGCGGCGTTAACACTGTAACGGTCACGTCTTCAGCCTCTTCCCTAAACCACTTTCTTCCTTCACCCCACACAACTCTCCTGCTTCCAGAAAACCTAACACAGAGAGCGTAAGCTTCCGCCACTTCTTCCCAACGTGATGAATCTCCCTTCTCTTCCTCTCAGTCTTTTTCTCTCTCCCTTCTTCCTTTCCTCCTTCCCTTTCTTTCGGGTGCTTTGTTTTTGTTAATTAGCAGAAATTCAGGAGGGGGCTTTCCGCAAGTGTTCTTATATCCCTACAGTAGCAGTCCCACTGTTCCTCTTTATTTGCGTTTAGTATGTAGGCTGCAGCTAGCGAACGAAAGCAAGGGAACACCATGAAATAACTCATGATCTGTAGTTTAATCATTCAAATGGTCATCAAAAATCTATAGAGTCTCTCCTATTAGCCAGACACAATAATAGTATCTAAGGATTTAAAAATATCTAAGATACTGTATGATACTGTATGAGCTTCCCAGGGCTTCCATAACCCAATACCACAAACTAGACAACTTATAACAACAGAAATGTACTCCTTCACAGTTCTGGAGTCCAGAAGCCTGAAACCCAGGTGGAAACAGAGCCAAGCTTGGTCTGAAGACCTTAGAGGAAAATCATTCGTTGGTTCTCCCAGCTCTGGTTGCCCAGTTCTCTTTTCCCCTCACCTTCACATGGTCTTCTATAAAGGATTTAGGCCCCCTGTAATCCAGTATGACCTCACCGAAACTTAACTATTATATCTGCAAAGACCTATTTCTAAATAAGATCATGGTCTGAGGTTCTTGCTGGACATGAATTTGGGGGGCAAGTTATTCAGGGTAATACTCCTGGGGATACTCCCACATATTGACTCAAACTTTAACTTGGATGCTTAACTTGTCTCCCTAGAATCTACCACAGTATCCTTCATAAAAATCTTTGCTAGCTAAAACTAACAAAGGAGGATAGCTCGGCTTTCAGTGGCCTACCTGACACACCTTCATGACAGAAAGCCATTGAGTGATGACTAAGAAACTAGATGTGTCACTGGATGCTAACATGAAGTTTGTTACATCAAGTACCTCGGTTTACAATGATTGGTTAGTAAGGAGAATATCTCCCGAATCCCCGCTTGTGCAGTTTTGTCCATTTCATTTTATATAACCAAGAATCACAGAATTCTTATATTTTACAACTAGATACAAGTTTTGAGACAAAATAACCTATTTTACAGATGAGACGAATCAGAAGAAATGTACATGTTCATCAGCAAATTAAGGGCAGAACCAATAGAATGAAGGTTCCCCATCCTTGCTCAGTGTTCAAATCAAACATTTCATGCTTATTAGTATAAATAATTTTCATTATGACTTTTCCATCTGAGCACACTTCAGCTCTGACTACCCTATAGAACAACTTATAACACTACTGCATTAACAGCATCTCTGAAAAACACGTACAGGCAGGCACTTGTCTTTCTACAATGTTGTATATCTTCCTCTGCTCCATGAGGAATCCGTCTTTAACATCAGTAACAATTCTGGATGTAAAGAACATCGAGCTTTTCATAATAATACTGTCCGAAGTTCCTCTAATTGTAACTATGGACACCACATGTTCAGTTAGACACCATAAAACACAATTTTAAATTATAAACCTTGAACAATAAAGCTCTTCCCCAAACCAAAAAAAAAGTGCCTATTTCTTTATTCGTGCACCATGAAACTTCTTTATTCACTCCAGTTCTGCGTTTAATCAAAAGTGCTGCAATAAAATATCTGTACACTACTTCTGTTACAAATATAGATAATATTTAAAGTGACTTTATATATTCAAATGTAGGAGTTTCACGCTCTAAAATGGGAATGAACACATGATAATTCCTCACCAGTTGTCTCAATAAACAGCTCCATCTGTTTCCCTGAGTCTTAAACTATTGTATTATAAGATGTTAATATAAAGCAATGGGATGAAGTTATGTTAATCCCCTTAATTTTTCTATCAATTTTCTAATGGCATACACCCAAAATAATTACTAACACATTGCTTTTTTCTCTGTCATTAGGATTAATACTAACTGAAAACCAACTGCACAGCGTGCTAACACGTTTTTAGTGTTGCATCAGTTAAAACCAGCGCTAAAGATCCTGAGAGCCTTCTATGTGCCTCCACAGTTGCACAGCTGCTTTCGAGAGAAACGACAGTCAATGCAGGGTGGCATCATTTTACTTGCAGAATCACGGAAATATTTTATAATAGGTCAAAAATGAAAATGAACATGGAGATGTGCAGTAAGTGTTTACTTTACATATGTAGGGACATCGCTTTAGATATCTGCTCTGTACTCCATCTTAGAAACCCATTTTTGGAGGGGAAAAAAATGCATATATTAAAGGTGGGAGACGCAATTTTTTATAATATTAAAATTTTTAAATACTATTTTTAAAGATTTTCAATAGAAAAATTGCATTTTTAAAAAGTTAGTAATAAGCAGAGGGATGGATGGACAAAATGAGGCGTTTTACAAAACTTGACATTTTCTTCTTTATTTAATATTTTCATTTTCACCGTCACTCACTGAAGCCATTTCTTAGGTTAGCTTTAGAATTTGTTTTTTTTCTTCCTCTATTAATCAGTTTAGCACATAATCATTTTTGCCCATGTCATTATAAAATACCAGGCATTTTCATGAAGAAAGAATGATTTCACTATGCAAAGAGACTACCTTTGAGTTTACGCAAGGAGGAAGGAAAAAGTGATACTAGCGTGTAAGAAAATTATTTCCAAGTGAGAGTGACAAACTTAAATGGTATTTTTCCCTACAGTTTTGAAGAGCACGAAGAACACAGCACAGGAAAAGCCACCCACAGGACCAGTTCGGTTCCCTCTACAGTGAGCAACGGGAGCGACGGGGGGCGCTGGCTCAGCTCTGACAGCTGCTTCAGGACAGGACCATCAGCGTGACAGTGCCTTTTGTCCGCTTCAGGATGGCCACGGCTTCTTCGTGGGTCACCCCTTCCAGACTCTGCCCGTTGACAGCAATGATCTGATCGCCCCTTTTCAGGCGCCCATCTTCGGAGGCTGCTCCCTGCAATGACAGAGCGGGCTTGCTTCAGAATCCTCACCAAATGCCGCCTCACAGCCCACAGCGGGAGGTCTGCACAAGAACGTGCGTGGCTCTGCATGTCGCACACTGCTCCCCACGCTCCATGGGTGCGCCGTGGCCATTAAGCAATGATGCACACACACAAAGGAGGTCTTTCTCCTAAATGGTTTGAGCAATGAAATTCCTATTTGAGAGAGAATTTAGCACTCGGTAGATTAGCTGAATGGGTTTTTTGGCTCTTCGGCGTAGCAGGTGGGAACCCAAATTAATAAAGAATATTTGGGAATTTGCCTAGTAGAAATGATTTCATAGAATTGAGGATTTTTTTTTTTTATCCTACAGAAAGAAAACAAAGGATTCAGTGGGAACAAAAGCAGTTTTACAGGATGAGGGCATGAGGGCCGTGAAACCCAAAGGTCAGCGGGAGCATAAAGCCCACGTGTATGTTGACAAGGGCAGGACAGGGCACAAATTCTGCTAAATGTACACGGATTCTTTCTGTGGCTTTAGAAAGGCAGCTCATGCTTGTTGGATCCTTACTTCCCAAGGGGAGAGGGAGTGTTCATATTCTCCGTGGGCCCTAATGATTAAGATTAAACACAGACACTGCTGTTTAAAAAAGAACCCCGTCTTAAGGCATGCTTATGGTAGGCAACTGTGCAATTAAATATGAGATTAAAATACGGAAAAGTTAATGAGGAATCCATAATGATGGAATTCTTAAAATACGTTCTAACTAGCATGCCTTAAATAAATTGTTCCCAGGCTGAGGAGAATGACTGCATGACTCTTCTATTCATTGGAAAAAGCTGTTTGTATTTTTGGACCTACCAGTGGCTTTTAAAAAATTCATAAATTAAGCCTGTAGCTTGATTGCTGCACTTTAAATTGCTTAAAAATAATATTTTTTCAAAATAACAGAATGAAACCTCCATTGGTGGGCACTTTATAGAATCACAGCACTAATCTCAAGCCCCTGTGTATCGAATCTTTTCACAGGTTTGATAACAGCATTGCTCCTTTGCATTGTAAAACTTTGAGATTCTGGATTTTCTCCTGTAGGAAATTTTGTCTGACTTTGTAGCTCCTCAAAAAAATGCCTTAACAACATAGTAATAATAATTATATGGGTTTAAGTTATTATAATAATCTACCAGTGTTGCAATAACTTCATTCTTATTCTAAACCTTTTTAACATATACCAGGTTTCTATATTGTTACAACTATATACTATTGGTTTTCCTTTTTTTAAAAAAAATTAAATCTATTGATTGTAAATGCTGGTTTATTACAGGTGACAGAGCTTCTGGATACTCTTCAAAATGTTTTAGTTATTATTTTTCTATTTTATTCAATGACATTAAACTACAAAATAAATGCCCCATTAGTTAATCTGCATATCAATTTTATGCACTTTTCTGTTCCTGTTTTATATTTCACAACAAAAAAATGCAAAGATAAAGAAATGCCAGCACTTTACAGCATACATATTTAAAATGTCCTACTTTCAAAAGACAATCTTATGCCACTTGTTTTCAAAAGAAAAAAGTCACGTGTTACTGTCTAAAGTTCATTAATATTTTTATGTATATTGTCAAAAATTCCAAATTTCAATTTCAGCCTATATTCCTTAAAACATAACTAAACCTCAAATTGGATAAAAATATTTAATGACCTGTTCCTATAGGGAGTTCCAAAAGAAAATGATCCACTGTTAACCATTTGGCGTTACCTCAGGCCATAAATAAGCCAGCTGCTGACCACTATTAATGAACATTTAGGGGGAGAGGGTGGTTAAAATTTGCAATCTTACCTTTGCAAACACTGTTTTAACGTAAATAGGTAAGTCTCCGTGAGGGCTGCCGTAGCCTCCTACTATACTGAAGCCCAAGCCATCTGGTCCTCGGTCCAGTGTAATTGACTTACACTGAGGAGGTCTATAGTAAGAAGAAAAAGTTTTATATATTTTAGTATATATATAAAATATATATATATATAATTGTGCACCTGCAAGTTAAGGATTATCCAGCACTAGTACCATTCACTGTTACTGGCGGTGAGTATTTCATGGGTGTTTTTGGCTTAAATTGTTAGTGTACGCGGGGCTCAGTATTTTAAATTTACATAATCCAATGAAATTCCCTAATTCTCTCCAATTTAATGCCCTAATTCTATTACTCATTTACGGTTCTCTTCAACTAACCTATTTACAGCACGTGCTCATTGCATGAAAAGCTCATTCTCCTTCCAGTTTATTTAAAGTGAGAGGGCTGAAGCGCAGAGGACCATCACGGAGTAAGTCATAAACATCAGTATTCCCAAGCTCCGGGAGAAAAATCAATTGCCAATCATGTAAAAGCTGCATCAAGTTATTTAAAAATTCTAATATGCTCCTCTCTTCTCCTCTATGTTCTAATGCTTTTGAGTTCAAGTGTTGGATAACTGTGAATTTTTTTAATCAAAAAGATGATTAAATGAGTAGGCAATGTTGGAAATTTTAAAAGGATAGATCTGACATGTTCCATGTCACATGAGGTAGTGACATCAAGACTAAAAATGTACTCCCAAAAAACTCAGAGCTGACACTGTGGGATGGGTAGTGACATGTCTATCTTTGATAAAATTAATCCACGCCATAATTATTTAATCATTTAGAAATACGTGATTATCATATTTCATCCCTCATCTCCTACTAGTTTACTTGTGAGTGGAAGGGACATACAAACCATAATCTCTGAGCTCACCCCAGATCATCCTGAAATATACTGCCTGACGTCAACCCAGGGAAAGGAAGACCGGCATTGGTGGGCTCCTGCTGGTGACCTGTGACCACACTCACATCACCTCCAGCAACCACCTGTGCAGAGGAGAAACAGAAAGAGAAAAACACAGGTTCATGTGGGCAGGGATGAGTAGTAACCTTTCTTCAAAAAGAGCATTTGGACTAAACCATGTATTTTATTGTCCATTCAATCATTTCTGTTAACATAACATACAGCCAGAGAGAAAGAAATTTCACAAGGTCCAGAGGCCTCTTCAACTGACAGTAAAAATATTCTACTTCAATTCTATCAAGTTCTCTGATGGTTTCAAACATGATCTCACATGAAATTAATTTTTAAAAATCATTAAAATACAAGTCACTCACTCACACCACCTAAAATTCTAGCAATTGATCATTTACTGCTAAGACCTTGTGTTTTTTCCCCTTAAAGTGTGAAACAATAAATGCATCAGGATAAATGTGACAGAATGTGTTTCTTACATACTCTCTTGGAGCTCTCAATGTAATCATCTATGTTCAAGGGAAACAGTAAAAGAAATAATAGCAGGAGATTTCAGGATTTTTACTGGTTTAACATGAACACTCGTGTGTCCTCAAGCTACCCATATTCTGAGTAGTGCTTGGGAGAAAAATCTTACCTGTATTTCGATGGAGCCAGAGGCATTTTTCAGTAAGTTAACTGCTTGGCTGTGAGTCATCCCCTCAGTGGATGTGCCACCAATAGTGACAATCCTGTCCCCAACCTGCAAGGGAGAGAAAGAAACAGCAGTCTACGAACACAACCGTGGAGAGAGGGATGCTGAGACCTGAACAATTTCCTTCCCTACCCTGCAAATCACATACATATTGCTACCAGCAATGGAAACCTACCCAAGGAAACCGCTAATTCCAAGCAGCAGCAACCATAAAAGAAGTTATACGCAATGACTGAGTTCTACAGTCTTTGGGGGGAGGGGGAAGTCACTCTTCTCTTTGTTTCTCTTGGGTAAGACATTGCTTCCCATTAAAAGAATAAGCTGTCTGATGGTGTTTGGAAGCCAGAATCTCTCTGGGAATCATTATTATATACATTATATGTGACTCTAAGTCAGGGGTTGGCAACCTGTGGCCCAAAGGCCAAGTATGGCCCACTGCTTATTCTGGTGAACAAAGTTTGCTATGCTCAGTTGGTTGTAACAGAGACCCACACGACCCACAAGGCCTACAGAGTCACTGGTCCATCACAGAAGTTTTCTGACCCCTGTGCTATGTGTAACAATCAATTTTTAAGTGTCAGTCATATATTTAGATTTCAAAGGAGACTGGACATTCCCCAATTTAGAGACTATTTAAACTAAGAAGTGGCTAAGTTTCAAGGACCATTTTGATATGAGGCCACACAGATTTTACTTTATGGGCTTTAATAGGATATTCCTAGGATTTCACAACTGAACAGTGAGCACAGATTCCATTGTAGTGCTCTACATTTGGATAAGATAATCCTTAAACTTTGGAGCAAGTTTTGTATAGTTTTATGATTTATGGCATATTTACAAGAGGTTTACAGTTGTGAGTTTGGGAAACACAGAGATTATTCTTGTATTATTTATGGATTGTATTATTTATTTGTATTACAACTGTAAACCTACTTTTGCCCATGCTTATATACTGAGCTTTTGCAAAACTGATAACCCAATGCAACATAAACTGATAATTTTCGACTTCATAAAGTTAAATCAGCATTTAAACCAATGAAATGTGTAATGAATAAATGTTCACCTCATACAGGTGTTCTGCAACACTGTTTTAACTTCTACAGTTTCAAACAAGTAAAAAAAATTAAGAAACAATAGCAAATCTTCCCATTTCATCTGCCTGCAAATCTGCAAACAGCAGCAAATTCTCCTCTCTCTCAATTTTCTGCATCTTTTACTCAAAGCAAGCTCTGCTGCGGTTGGATTAGCTGACTTAAAAGCAGATACAGACATTTAAAACTGCCTGACACAGGTGGCCAGATTCAAATCGTTTATCAAAACTTCTGCCAAACTCGCTAGGGCTACCAGGGCCATTATTGAAACTTACTCTGAGTTTCTGGGTCTGAGCTGCCACCCCATTCGGGTGCATCATTGCAATAAATATCGGAACGTCACCAAGTGGGCTGCCCACTCCTCCAGCAATGCTGATGCCCAGTGAATCAGTAGGCCCCTGAATGGAAAGGAGAGCGCGTTTCCATCAATGCGATATTTTTAACTGACTTTTGGTTTCTCTGGCACAATATTCTATAGTTGACTCTGATCCTCTAGGTGTGAGGGTGGAAAATGAAGCTCAAAAAAAAATTGCACTACTTTATTTGACACAGGTCCTTAGTGTGATTTAGGAAAATAAGCACCTGCAAAAGGAATCATGCACCTTAAGTGAAAACCATGTTGTGGGACTGACAAATAGCAGGAAAACTGATGAAGTGAAAAGGGCAGAGTTTCTGAAATCAGAGAGACCTGTGTCCAAAGCCACGAACCCCCACTTCCAGACACTGGGCCCTGGAACAAATCCACTTTTCTCAATGAATCACCAGATCTTCACTGACAGAGTGGAGATACAGTGCCTCTCACCAAGGTCTACGTGAGCATCAAAAGAGAGGGTGACGGCACAGTGTGTTTACATGAGTCTTCAGCACAGAGAAAAGGCTCCATAAATCACAGCTGGTTTTATTTTCTCTCTGTGCATGGCTATCAGGGGATTCTTTTTAAGGAAAATAGAAGGTATCTGCTGAAGGCAAAGCTTACTCATCAGTGTGAGGTCGGGCACATTTTGCGCGGGGCTGAGCTGAGGCCGTTTTTGCCGATACAGAAGACGCCAACAATGATTTTTCAAATAAGGTGCTATAATCAGAAAGTTCAGGAAAGACTGCACTGAGTAGTTTCTGCTGTGTATCAGACATAACGTTTCAGAGAGTACAATAGAAAAGGCGGCTTCTAGGAAAACAGCCCTGCGTATGCCTCTGAGGTCAGCAGGGTTTGCACTATGTCCTTCCCCCAAGTCCCCGAGTTACCTTTTTTATTTCAACTGTTCTTAATCCCTGTATTTCAGATGCCACTATGAAGGTGAAAGAGACAAAATATGGTTATTAAGGCATTTTTATGTTCATTTAAATTTCAGTCACCGTCTGGGGCTGGATGGGGCTAAGTGACATTCCCCTATTTCTCTGAAAGGGTTCTCCAAGTTGCTAGCACACATGACTAAGTCTGTCTCACACAAGAACTCGTTATTTCTCCAGTTGGAAAAATGCATACACAGTCCCCTTTCTCCCTTCTCATTTTAAGCACTGCTTATATAACTGTACAATCCCCTTTAAGTGAGACAAGGACAGACTGTGTTTTGGATGGAAAGACACATGTGCACAGCTGAGAGGAATAAAGTCATGGGTGCATTAAAAAGAATTCACGGACATAAGTGCCTAAATTTCTAGAATATTAGTCATATTGCAAACAGAGAATGCCATATGGTTAGTTTCTTCAATTTGAACAACTTTCAACCGATGCTCCAAGCCAAAAATCCCCTCTGCATCATGATTTCATGTAATTAAAACACAGGAGGATCATATTAATTTTCTCACTCAAAATTTTTGCAACCCTCATGGGAAAAAAAGGCTTCACTTCATGGCATCTTCTGATTTATTGGTGTTCCACTAAACAGGGAACGGAAATAAAAATAAAATATACCAATAGGTTTAGTAAGAAAAAAAATACAGAATCGACTCTTATGTTTGGTATGTCCTGTAGGGTAAACATCAAACGGGAAAAGCTGCCGTGGGCACAGCTTCGCACTGTTCAGAATTTCTGCCAACATCCGTCTTTCTACCTGTATGAGTATACGGAATGATTTGGGGGAAAGAGAGCTCAGAGGTAAATTAAAACTGGGATGAAAATCTGTCAGTGGCCAGAATTCAAACCAGTCAATCATGCTTAAGTACCAACCCAAACTTACAGGCATTCTTCTTCAAGCTACTTTCCAGTGACTCAGAGGTACTGGACCCAGACAGCGGGAAAGTGAATGAAGACAGGCTGCATTCACTCATCTATGAATATAAAACAATTATTTTAGAAAGTTTGGGAAGTAATGATAGCCTCTAAATACCACTTATTTCAGAATTCGGTTCTTTTAAAAATGCATCTAGAGAGAAATACCTGGTAAGTAATGCTGGCATCTGATACTTTCATGGGCATTTAAACAGTTTCTACTGATTTTTTTTTTTTCTTTGTAAGGAAGAATTTGCAGAGTGACCTAAATAAATTACAGCTAAAAGGATGGATGAAACTGATTCCAAACTACCTAAAGTTTTAGTGAATTTTCATAATCTCATTCAAGCTAATCCTCTCTAAATTTAAAATGATGCTACATATAGGTGGGAACTTAAAAACAGAACTGGGAGCCGTTAATAGGAAGCTGATGGTCCTCAGTAAGGGGTGAGTAGGGGGGTTTTAAGGACAGGCTGATGAAAATGGGGTTCTATCATCAGAAGACAAGACTGAGGAGAGGGGCTTGTCAAGATACTTCAACTGTGTAACACTTTTTATATGTGTGAGGAGCATCTGCAGTTCACCTACACGGGATTCTTCTCAGCTGAATACTGATGGATGTTCATTATAAAATACTTCAAAAATATATTATCTCAGCAGGCTTTCATACATTCATTGGTTAACTTTTGATATTATGGAAAAAAGAATCACGTCAGAAAAGAAATTACATTCCTTAGAATATTTACAAACTACTCAAGAGCTACACCTTGCTTACCTGTCCACCTTCAGCTCTGCTCTTCCCTATCTCAAACTCTGCGCCCCACTCTGCCTACTGCCAGAGAGCCAGGCCTGTGTCCACGACCCTGGACAGACCCACGGTCGAGACCACCTTTGAGTTCCTTTTGGTCTGTGGCCTGCGTTACCCTGATGGATCCCATAGCTACCTACCTGGCTGCTCTGAGAGGGCCTCCTCTCCGAATGGAATGGTCCAGCTTTGATTCTTCCGACTTCCAAGGTCACTGTACCTAGGGAACACTGGGGGAGCAGTTGTTTTATGAAAATGTTTAAATAAAATGCTACAGTCATCTTTAGGATCACGTTTTATTCTTCAGGACTGAGTTTTTAAAAGGGATATTCCTTTTGGAACTTTTATAGCCAAGGATGCCTCCAATGCTTTGTAGAAAGAGGCTTTTTAAAAAACAAAATTAGTCAAAATAGTAACAACAAGCAGCAACAGCAATACCAAGTGTCTGTCTTATGACCTCATAATTTACATGGAGACTCTTTCCAACAGGTAACAAGAAATTGAGACTTGGGCAGTTATCTCAGGAAACCCACTGATTTAGAGAGGCTAAATGAACGAAATAACTCAGGTTCTAAAAACAAAAGAGAAACACTAAAGCAACCTGTTTTGCTCTTAATAGCAGAGGTAATCAGATAAACAGCTAAACTCTGTTGTTACACTGTACCTGAATGAACAATACTTAAATGAGCCATATTACTACAAACACAAAACAGGGATTGAAGGCAATTTTCCTGTGCCTCTTTTGAGGGAGAGACATGACATTACAGGCTGCAAGAAATGCTCTCCAGTCTCCTGAGAAAGCAGCCCAAGGAGGTGTCTGAGGTGCTAGGCTCCTGCAGTTGGAAACGCTGCTCTAAATCAGACTATGTGACTTACTAGCTGTGTGACCTTAACGGATGTCTAGCTTGGTAAGTCATTACTCTGCATTTTTAAAATGGAAACCATTATAGGTTGTGATAAAATAATCCATGTATAACGTTCATTCCAGTGTCTAGTGTAAGGAGAACCTTCCATAAGTACTGGGCACTGGTATTAGCATGCTGCTTATGAGAGGGGCTATAAGAAACGTTTCACTCCTAAACATACTAATCATGAATCAAGTTTTGAAGGTCAAAACCTGACCTGCAACATCTGTAAGTTTTTTTTGGTTTTTGTTGGGGGGGGCAGGGAACTTGTCAAACCTTTCTTGAACCTATTTATATTTCCAGCTTACATAACTGCAGAGGTTAACAAATTCTGTACATTAATTATTCAATGTATAAAGTTATAACTCTTTCATCTACTTATAGCATATCTCTTTTAAATTTCAAGGGTATCTGTTATAAAAAAATTTTAAGTCAATATTTCTGTTATAAAATCAATTCACTGTCAACAGAAAATTTTGAAAATAAAATAAGGAAAACCAAAGATGCCATAGTTCCAATAATCACCTCATAATTATTGTTAAAAGACCTACTATAAGATTTTATTTTACATAGATGTTCTTACACTGTAAATACAATTTTTGTCTCACATTCTCTGCTATGATTTTTCCTGTTAATTGATATCATTATCCTGAACGTGATCTTAAACAGAATCACCTGCCGTGCACCTTTGCTATATTTACCAAAGTCTGTATAGCTATGTCAACTGTTTTGCTTCCAAATGGTCTATTATTACAAATACTACTACAATAAACCTCAGGTGCATGAAGTTTTTGTGTATTGAGGATTATTTATCATGAAAATATGGCTTCTTACTTCTATCTTATTTGAGAGAATGTTTTAAATAAAGAGGAGTCAGTACTTGTTGCACTGAGCTAGCTCAATGTTAAATTCCCCTTCTATATTATGGCACATGATTATTTCTAGCATTTGATTTTTACCTTTAGCAAAGCGGCAACGGCTTCCTGGGTGGCACTACGGACATCCTCTCCATTCACCATTAATATCTGGTCTCCCTGCATCAGTCTCCCATCGGCATCTGCAATTCCTCCTTTGACAATGTCTGACACAAATACTCCAGTGTCATTTCTGCAAACATAATTTTGATTTTCAACATTACTTTAACTGTAATGCAATGCATATTTAATAATAGATGACATTTTTTAAGTGAACATTTTACTCTATTTTTATCAGTTTTTTACTCTATTTTTACAAGTTTTATTGGTTTCAAAGCAACACTGGGGCAATATTATAATTAATGCTACCAAATGGCAAAAAAGAGATGTAAGAGTCAGGCCTTGTGTGCTAAAAATCTATTGTTCTTTCTACACCATAATGAAGCCTTATATGGATATTGACCTGTGCCTATAAAATTATGTGGCTATTATCATCAACATCATTAACATTCTTAAAAATAAATAATAAATGTGTACCTCAAACTAAAACCATTTTTTGCCCCAGATTTAAGTACCCCTGCTATGCTGTCTTTTATTTTAAATCATTACAGATCTCACTTCCAATCAAGAGAGATTTATACAAAATGAACAAATATTAACCTTATTCCAATCTCATTCAAAACTATAACTAAACCAGCAACTTCTTATTCAGATACAAAGGTAACTGAATTAGAAACATTTACTGAAAGGTGAATTACATCACTTGCTCTTGCCAAGGTTGTGACTTCAAGCCATTTCACCATCTGAAAGCCTTTAGAATAAAGGTATTGGAACTTACTATACTGTATTTGTTAATATTTCTTATGTATAAATATTTAAATAAATTTGGAACTGAATTGATGTATATTCACCAATCTACCACCGTAGTCTCTAACGTTTGTTCCCTTTCAATGACATGCTCTTGTTCACGCTGATCCTTCACCCTGGAATATTCCCCATCCCCTTTCATAACCAACTAGCATTTATCACTTGTAGCTTCAGCTCAGGCACCTCTTTTTAAGAAGCTTTCCTAATCTACTTTCCTTAAATAGGGTCATTTGGTTTATTTTTCTTTTGCTTCCATGGATCCCCACAATGCATTTCTGTCACTCATCAACAGAGGCCTTCACTGCAAGAATATGTTTAATTCTCACCTACCAAACTATGAGTTTCCTGAGGTCAGGGACCATGTTTTACTTAACTCTGTTCCCCAGAACTAATATATTTCCTGGCACACAGCAGGTGCTCAAAAATAACGAATGGCTTTTTGGTTGGTACTTTCAAAAGTCCCCAACATACTGACTGCAAAGGTTGGACACTGATGTCTTTGAAGTTCCACGCCGAGAGGGCTGCCAACAGCGGCTTCCAGCACACGCGCTGCTGATAAAGGCTCTCCTACTGCTAGTGCTCTTTAAACGACCGCAAATCCAATCATTTCCAGGAGGTCACTGGGTGGGCCCCGCTCGGTCTTACCTTTTACCAACAATACTCAATCCCAGGCCTTTCCCGGGCTTCTTCTGCAGCTCGACGGTGAGGGTGTCATACACGTCCTCCTCTTTGTACGGGGCCTCGTCTCTGTAGAGCGTCAGGCGCACTCTCTGCGGCGTCTGTCTCAGGACATTGATGGCTTCATCGTGTGTGGCCTTCCTCAAGTCAATCCCATTCACCTGGGTGGGAATGGGACACAGCCTGAGAACCAGGTGCGTCAAGGAAAGTGAAGGGAGGGGGGAAGGGGAGGGGAGGAAAGGGAGTTGGGGGAAGTGAGGGAGGAAAGGAGAAAGACACACAAAGACCACCCTCCCCAGAGTCGCCTTTTCTTTGTTAACTGCAGAGGTCAGTACACAGCAGCTGTACCTCTAGAATCTGATCTCCAGCCCAGAGTCTTCCGTCTTTACACGCTGCTCCCTCCTCATAAACTTCATGGATAATAATGGCACCCTAAGGACCCAGACAAGACACACCCATGTTTTATCCCATTTCCCTAGGAACGGTGAGCAGAAATGGAGTCAAAACACACTGCATTTTTATAGGCAGAGATAAGGGTTGTACACGCACTGCGTCCATATGTGAGTCGCATATCAAAATTCAAAGAAAAGTAAAACATCATTTTTGCTAAAAAGGCTCAATGAAGCTTATAGTTCTTTCTAATGATAGGGAGGTTTGAAAAAAAAATTGTAAAATATATAAATCGCACATACATATATAATAGAATACATCATCTTTCCTATCCACATACGAAATGATTAGATTTCAAAAGCATTTCTGACATTTAGAAAATTTTGCCTACAAACTGGCCATATACTCCTCTCAATATGGATCTAACCCAATCATATCCAGTCAGTAAAAAGGAAATTAAAATACAGCAAGGACTGGTGAACTGATAGAAATATTTTGAACCTAAAGGTCACAGTCACAACAGAATCTTACTGAGTCAGAATTGGCTTACTCAAAATAAAAATCTCAGACCCGCCGAGTTAAATATTTTCCACACAAACTAAAATAACAAGGAATGATACATTTTTCGAAGCTTTTATATGTCATTTCATAAAACCGATAGAAAGCTCCCTGATAATGCTCCCTCAGGGCTGGCTGAAGGCCGCCTGTGTCTGAAGCATCTCTGGGCGCGTCCTCACCAGCAGCGTGTCCGACCCTCCGACAATGCTCAGGCCCAGCCCCGTGCGCCCTTTGGAAATCTCAATTGTGGTTTCGCAGCCTGGGATAATGGGGCAGGTGGCAGGATCAGAAGCAAAGATTGCTGGTGTTGACGACCTGCTTGTACCTAAAAACAAGTTAAAATGAAATGAAATACAAACTGGTTAGAAGGCATGTGCAGTAAACTCACCACACTGGGCGTCTCTGGGAGATGGGGCAGGAAATGGGCCCAAGGCGGGACAAAGGCGACTTCAAATTCACCTTAATCTTTTAGCGGTATCTCAAACTACCAAACAAATACAATTAAATCTTCGTTGTTAATTCAGAGTGGTCACAAAATTACCTGTTAAATTATTTTCTGAATTATTCCGTGTGTTCTAAGTTGCTAGAGATAATATGTATAAAGGACGGAGAAGAGAGAGCGGAACTGAAACTCTAGTTTTGCTCCAATATTCTACATTTCACTGGAGCCAAACAAACTTCCTATGAAATCATATCTGCACAGCTCAGAACTGAGATGTGTGGCAGGATCTAAAACAGTCAGGGAAGACCACAAAGCACAAAAAACATGAACACTTTTGGTCACAGAGCCTGCCTTTCGGGGCTTCTACGTCTTTGTTTCTTCTCTTCTTATCCGAGAGCCTCTCTTATGTAATCAATCTGAGCCTTATGTAGCTGGACTTAATGTCTGAGTTTATAAAATGTCAAGTGAGACTCGCTCACAGTATCTTTCCTGGGTCTTGATGTTTTATAAACTCATATATTACACACTGGTACATACATGCTCAGAATTGGATAGACAAGGATAGATAGTGGAAAACCAAGGTGAATGGAAGTTCACACCTCACTTCATTCTAGCCTTTGTAGCCTATGTTTTATGACACAGTGATTTGGGCAAGCTGGGACATTTGGCAAACCAGCTTTAGACAAGATGCTTTTTAGGAAATCAGAGACAGGCTATTTTCTAGCTCCTGAACTGGTAAGAGCAGGTGTAAGATATTTTCTTTTCTGCTATATTTTCATTTAACGTTCCATAATTTTATAGACAATGCTATTTAGCGATCAAGATAAAATAAAAAAATGAGATTTCCATTAAAATTTTTAACAACTCATTGAACTACCTGGTCTTTCTAAATAATCACTTTCATCCCATATTTATCACTTTAAGACTTTTTGTACAACTATATTACAAATGTTTTAAACTGCTGTTTCCTTAAAAATCTGTCAACAGAACCGAATGCTGCAATTTAGGAGCCAAAAGAGATCTTCCCCACCCCCCAATTGCAGAAAAAGTCAATGTGCTTAAGTACTTTTGTTTTAATGCTGCAAAGTTTGAAATTTATTGATTTATTAAACGCTAGCATAATTTTTCTTAAAAAGATAACTGGAAGGAATAGCTTGTCTCAATATACTAGACTGGCATTTTAATGATAGAAGAGTGTTGTCCCATGGTCCACATACCACCATTTCATTTGACAGGATCCACTATTACATCCAAACGACAGAACTCAAATGGACTTAAACACCTGTGGCAGGGACTAGCATTTTTAAGGGTTTCTTGCTGTGCCAGGTGCCATTTATTCCACTGGTGAATTTTACAGTGTGTCCATTCAGAACACTGAAGCTTAGAGAAGTTAAATTACTTGCTCGGTATAAAAAAGAAATGTACAAAATGGCGTTTTTAATTCATTAGATACCTGGAATTAAGGTGCCCTTAACAAAAGATCCTTGAGAGCAGAGAGTACCTCTCCTTTGTTTTAGAGATGAAGAAGCTGGGGCTCAGAGGGGTGGATAGGTTTCCTGAGGCCCTGGCCGAAGGCTGGTTAATGTAGAGCACACACATCGCCCGCCTAATGGTCAGCACCCCTTCTTCCCTTTATACCATCCTTTCGCCAAAGGATGCCCTGACTATGGCCTTCCAAACACTGAGCTCGAGGCAGGCAGCGGGCTCCCAAGAGGAGACGCGCGGCTGGGTCTGAGTGTGCCAGACGTGCAGGACTCACTGGAACAGCCCTTACTTCGGACAGGCTCCGGTTCCGGGGAGCCAGGTAGTGGGACCATCGGAGGCTGGGAACTGTTCTTTCTTTCTCCATTGGTCGTACCAGCTGCTGAAGCAAAAGCCTGGGAATCTCGATTCGCGGCACGAATGGTAAGTTTCACTGTCGTCTTTGTTGTTTTCAAAAGGCTAATAAACTGGCAGGGGGTTGGTGTGGAGGGGAAACAAAATTCAAAGGCAAATTAGTAGATTGACACAAATAAGTCATTATTCTAGTTGGAATCTAAGACTATATCTATGATTGAGAGAAAAGTCAGAGGCAAATTCTTTCCTTGTCAAGGCCTGAGGGGTCAAGAAAGAATTTTTACATTTTCTTTAACTGCCTAATACTGATCCAGGCCACAGTTAACTTCTACTGTACATCCAGTTCTGACTCTACTCTTATATAAGTATAGGGCTTTCAACTCTTTATAATTCCAATTAGTTTCATCCATTTCTTTGGATCACTACAACCTTAGAACGCAGGTGGGGTATTTTACCCACTCCCTGATTCTACAGACAATCTGAAGCAGCTTTCACAGACACTTCTAACAAAACGGAAGCACTTATGTTGCAATCGGGATTAGGAACACTATGCAGCAGAAGAGTCAAGCCAACTGGAAAGTTAGAACATATGGAGAGGAGTTAAAGGATCACGCTATACAATTATTAAAACTGAATAGAAAAATGATTTAGGCTTCTTGTAGAAATGGAAACATTTGCACACCAACTCTCCAGAGAACCACAGTGTTGTTCCTGGCACTTCTACGTGAAAGGCCTCAGGTGAGATTCCTAAGGGTCACGAACACTTCTGAAGGGGAAGAAACTCAGGTACAAATAACTGTTAACCCCAACAGAAGTTACACATGCTGTAAACTAACTTATTTGGCTTTATCTCACTTAATGGCTGAGTCCTACAATCTGTTATAAAACAATATACATAGTGGCTGGTTATGGGAGCAAACATTCATGAAAAATATTCCTTTGGTCTTAACACTACATTGACCTTTGTTTAGAAGTTTAAACTTTTGCTAAGGGAAAATGGAAATGATATTTATCAAAAATGTCCACTAAATACTGAATTTACCAGGCAACAGAAAACAGCTTAGCATTGCCACGACTGGAAAATAGAAAATAAAAATTGAAGAACTTCCAAATAATATCTTCTCTTCTTTAAGGGTATTTGTCTAATATAGCCACATAGCTGTAATTCTCTATGACCAGCCACAGAGACAAACACAAAGACACACACACACACACGTGCTTGCACATACACATACTGTGGCCACACCCAAAGATGGGTTCACAGCACCATTTTCTTTCTTTTTTCAGAAAAAGTACCTTTTCAACAGGATAGCCAACAACAACTTCATCATCGATGGCCAAGATCTGATCTCCAACTTTGAGCCGTCCATCCTAAATGGAAACATGGGAGGTTTGAGGGATTCTGCAGAAGTAACTTTCTCCTCCAGCGCTTTCTGATGCGGGAAGGGGACGCCTCACCTTGGCTGCGACCCCGTGCTCTGTGAGACTCTTTATGATGACTCCACTCAGTGTATCTTCCTCACTGATCGCAATGCCCAAGCCCCCTTGATCCTAGAGAAATAAAAACAAGACCACTCAGAAAACCTGAAACATTGTATTTATCCAAGTGGAAAGGTATATGAGCATAATTTCTGAATGTCATCATCTACCCAGAGGCTAAAATAGACATTTAAACTGTTCTAACATCCGCTATTAGAAATCTCTTCTTTCCTTAAGCAGACTTTCAAATTTTTTTTTAATGGAAATAAATTATCCCCAATCAAATGTTCATAATACAGGGTGGGGTAAAAGGAGGTTCACAGTTGTGAGTATGCAAACCACAGAGCTTATTCTTGTACTATTACTTATTAATTATTGTATTATTTTCCGTATGAACAACTGTAAACCTACTTTTGCCCCATCCTGTATTTTCTCTCCTCCCACATGTCCACTATCTCTAGTATTTTTAGCATATATATCCAGCAACATAGCTCTAGTAACTTTAGCTAGCAAAATATCCTGAAAACAAAAAAATGCATTCAATAATCTAATGAACATACAATGTTTGAGAATTTACTTTTATGTAACTGGATGACAGGGGGATTCAAAACCAATCAAAGTATCCCCCTGCTTCTTCTTTCTGGCCTAAGCTTACAAATAACAACCAAAACTGGCAACTTCACCCTCTCTGTGCCTCTCTTTCTTTAGCAGATGGGCCCCAATGACTGCTGTATGCTCTGCCCTTTTTGGGGCCCACCCAGTACCCAGGGCTATTTCTCCAGGGACTTGTGTTTTGATCCGGCGCAGAATAAAAATGCTCTCGGCACCAGGGCCTGCCCTGAACACCTGGCAAGGCTAGACAGCCACACCTACTTTGTATTTTCCACATTTGCGTTTATCATAACCAAATGTTCAATAATACTGGCTTTTACCTTTCTTTAATATTTATGTTCATAAAATTAAAATCGGGTTTAACATTTTCATTCTGATTTGAGTTGGGACCCTCTTCGACTACAGTCTCCATCCAGGGAGATGTAAAGCAAAATCGAGGAAAGGGAGTGTCGTCATGTTTCCTCTGAAATGTATAGAAAAGCCAGAGCTCACCGCCAGCCCTTCAGGATCATGGCTGCAACACCCAGACAAGGCTTCCCCAACACTTTAAAAATTACCAGCATCATGGCGTTTCTGAGGGAAACTGTCAATGCCTGACAGCCTTTATCTCTCTACCACCAATCAGTCATGTGTAGGACACAAAACTGCGCTTTTAGGGTAAACAGAGCTCGGTTCTAATTTACTTCCTGCCTAGCTGCAGAAATTTGGATATGATACTTCACATCTCTAAACCTCAATGCTCTTATCTAAAAACAAAACAAAAAAAGGAGCAATAGTACTTGCCCAACAACAAGGTGGGGAAAGTGTAATAAGAAAGGGTTTGAAAGCTTGATGCATTATACAAGTATCGTTATTACACATACATTCCTTCAGCTTATAGCTCTATAGGATATAATCAAATTTACTTCAGATAAATTCTTTAGATGTGCCAGTATTTTGAAACCCAAACCCTGATCTAGTAGTCACAGTATCAGGCTTAATGAATAGGAGGGTCAGTGTGCTACCAAATGACAAAATCCCAATGCCAATGCTAAAGGTAAATAATTTAAGTTACCCTCTATTTGGGATTTTCCACACTAACAGTCTTTCCTATTATTACAAAGAAACATTTGTTTGAATAAGTAATACCCTATATCTACAATGACTGTATGTACTAAATTCTGAGATGTGTTCTATTATTGTCTATTCACTTAACTGTCGTCAGGAAAGTACTTTGCTAGTCAAGTGGGCATTTGCTGGGTGTTTACCTAATACCCATTCTCATCTCACTCCTTTGTACAAACTCTCCTGCACTCTCTCTGCCTGTGTTTTCAGTGGTGGTGTTCCAATATGTGCACAAACCCCTTGATATTTTCCCGTCAAGAAGGGATTCTTGACTGTGGGCTGGACTGGTGATCTGATTGTAATAAATAGAATAAAGCAGAAGTGATGGCGCGCAATTTCACAACTAGGTCAAAACGGGCACCTGAGCTTCCTCCTCTCTCTTTCTCTTGGATCCCTTGCTCTGAGGGAAGCCGGCTGCCAGCTGTGAGGACACTCAAGCAGCCCCACAGAAAGGAAATAGGCCTCTTGCCAACAGCCATGTGAGTAAACCATCTTGGTTGGATGTGGATCCTCCAGCCCCACTCAAGCCTTCAGATGAGCTGCAGCCCTAGCTGGCAGTTTGTTGGCAACTGTACCAAGTGAGTCTGAAACAGACCACCCAGGGAAACTGCTCCCATATTCTTTACCCACAGAAACTGTGAGAATAATAAATGTCTATTGTTTTAATTGCTAATTTTTGAGGTAATTTGTTATGTAGCAATAGAAAAGTAGCTCCAAGGATGGAGTTGGAACGACTTAAGTCAATGGCACAATTCTATTCCGTGGCCATAGTCCTCGGCTCAGGAGTAGGTATATGATCTGAACTGGTTCAATTAGGATGAACCTCAGGACTTTTGCTCAGAATTTTGGGATAGTCTCTCTTTCCCCCGACTCCCAACTACATGTGAAAGAAGTAGTTCATGACCCCAACTATGGTTCGCTGCCACTCTAAAGCTATGAGGACAACCAGTCTTGGGGTCAATCTAACACCGTGGACAGCTGTGCAGGGGGAGGAAAGAACTGGCTCTGATGACACTGCTGAGCCACAAGATCAACCATCCTGAGCCCACAAATCCCTTTTTTAAGACTGATCGCGTCAGGTTTTTTTTGTTGTTATTTCCAATAGGTAGAGTCCTAACAGGAACAATTAGCTACACATCTGCAGGTATCCCACTTAGAATACTATGAAAACATATACTCATCTACAGACAATTTACTGATACCAAAAAAGCAGGGTGACAGGTAAGTACGGGTTAGGGTGTGAGTGTGCAATGCCTTTTCTAACTGCTCAGCCTTCCACCTCACCTCTGCCACAGTACAGAGTCCCTAACAGAAAGGACCTACAGAACACTGTTTCGAGCTAGTTATTAAAATGCCACCATACAGGGAATGTGGAACAAATTAAGGAAATATATTTATGGAAGAACAGTTGCATAATTAAAGAGCTAAAAAAGAGTAAACAGGAACTAAATGTAGAACTAAACAAACTGCTCTTATTATAAGAACTATTTTGAAGTTGGAAAATAAAATTCAGAAGAAGGAAAACTGTTAATTATATTTGAAGACTTTCACAATATAAAACTGAGTGGATATGAAAGATATCTCTGGCCATCATGTACGGCTGTTATCTGCTTTGATATATATGTACTTTCCTACAGCAAAATGTGCTAAAAATAAAACTTTAATAAAAAATATTTGTCTGTTGAACTGAATTAGCTTTTCAGTCAGCCACTGAGTGTTCACTTATGAACACTTCTATACATTATAAACTTTTTGTTTATACTTCTATTTTCCCACTTAAAAAAGAATTAAAAAGAAAACAGATAAATGACCTGTCAAGAGAGTTTTTAAGGAGTCAAAACAGAACTCAAAATGACCTGTTACATTAGTTCCAGTTTTGAGACAGTATAAAAATGATTCTCTCCTGCCTGACTCTCCTGATCTTGACATCTTTCCCCTTGTGCACATAATATATGTAAGCATTCATTCATTCTTCCCTCCCTGATGCTCAGTATGAACTATGGTCATTGGTACACAATACTACATAAGATAATGGGAGAGAAAATAGAAGAGTTACTTCTCTCAACATGCAACTTAGATGTTTAGAAAATATACTCACATGAAAGTTTAGCATAAGAAATATGCTCTTGGGCCATGCATGGTAAATGACAAATAAATGAAGACATTAATAGTAAGCATTATATAGACCAGAATATTGAAGAAATATTTCAAAATAAACAGAGGTGAGATTACGCTAGGTCTTGAGTTACAAAGGATTTAGATAAGCTTAAGGAGAGAAAAAAAGCAGAAGGATGTCTGATATAAACAAAGCAAGGAGAAAGATGAATTCTTAAAATAATCTCCATGGGCTCTTGTTCAAGTCAGTCTGAATGAAGTAGAGGATTTTTATAAGGGACATATTAGGGATTTGGGAAAGGTAACGCAAGCCTGAAGTCAGCAGGGGAAAGAGGAAGGAAGGTATTAGCTCTCTTAAGTGGCAATAGAAGAGGGATTCTTGAAGGGTACCGACTTCTTGGTAGAAAATGAAAAGACTTTCATGACTTATGTTCCTTTCCCACTCTCTACAACACAAACTGCCCATTGAAAAGGACTTCTCTTAAATGTATATGCAGAGTTCTCTATTGTAAAAAATAAACCAATGAAGTCACAGTCCTTTTTTCTCTTAAATGCTTATCAAGGTGTGACCATGTGCCAGGCAGGCATTATGCCAATCACATTATAAACAACTAATTTAATCTTTACAATTACCTACATCAAAGATCATATTATCATCTCCAATTCACAGGTGGGGAAACTGAGGCAAATGAAAGTCACACAATGTGTCAAGTATATATATAATGTACCTGAGGAAGCAGGGATTCAACCCTGAGGGACTGGCTCAGCCCTCCAGCATCCTGCTGCACTGCCTCCGGGCTGGGGAGTGGCAGCATTTCATTTAAGTTCCCTCCTCCCCCCTCCCCCC